TTACCAGTGTTACTTGCATCTGTGAATACAGATAGTTCAAAGCTATCCTAGTGATCAGCTCTCAAGAAAACTAAGGAAGCTGTTGAAACGAGCAGTATACGTCCACTTACACCAATTAGACAGTTAGAGCAAGTTCAGTCATTTAAAAACACTCAATACAACTGGTGGAAGTAGCTAAATTAAACAGAGGTGACAGGAAGAATAAGGCTCTTGATCTGGAGTTGAAAAAGTGATATAATTAAACAGAAATTCCATCTATGATAGCTATTACGCCACAGGGACAATATGAGCAGAAGTAAATCTTAAAAGGCTGTAAATTACTTTTGATGGATGAAGACAGATTTAGTCTTTCAGCTGGCTATTTCATTAGCGGGTTGTTCGTTCCAAATGCTCCAGTGGAGCAATTACATTATTAATGTCCTCACCGCTTTCCATGCCAGGTACCCCACTCCCCACTCAGAGCCCTATAGGGCCCTGCTGTCCCATACAACTTCACTGAACCACCCGATGAGCTTGTGGGGAGCCCCAGTTTCTCAAGCCTGCTGCGGTGTTGAGCAAAGACAACCCCAAACACAGCAACGTCACCGCTACGGGGCACACGCTCCACTGCTGCTGAAGGCTGGGGCACCCCTGCAAACAGGGTCCATTCCCCGGGATCCGGCGGGGACCACGGAGCACCGGAGCTAACGCGGTTCCATATTCAGGCAGGGCACAACGTTTCGTGCCCTGTAGTGAGAAGGGAGCACGCAGATTTGTGCTGCTCTTGTGAGATCTGGGCCAGCTCTTTCTACTGAACTCCCTCAAAGGGGAATAGGGTCTTGCATGAGTTGAATTCCTAGATTCTCCTCCGGGACTGCTATCTCTCTCTAATTGAAACAGATGGGAGAAAAAAGTTCCCTCCCATTTGTTKCATGTGTTCTTTAAACTTCAGAGTTACTGACTAAGAGGGTCATCCTAAGTTCTCCAACAGCTTGGAAAAGGCCTGGAAGATGTCTCTTTGTTAATGGCCGATTTCAGCACTCAGCCATTAGAAATGGAAAAGAACTGGAAAAATCAAGCCCAAACAACTGCTTCTAGAGCCAGTTATGATTCTTCTTCATCCCTCACATGTTGTCTACAAATTAGTTAGTGCAGCGTAGACTGGAAGTACCTGAGGACTCTCATGAGCAGGCAAATAGATGACTAGCAAGACTGATGCAGTCTTCTAGGTGCAAGCTGCAATTATAATGCATTTCTTCTAGAAGAATATACTAAAATCATCTAATTTTTCCTCACCGTAACCCATTGCTGAAGGAGGTGAAGATGTCTTGGGCCTTYGCATTTAAACCATCACCAGATATTCAAAAAGCTGCAGCTTCAAAATCACAGCTTTTCTGTAGAGCTGAGCTGTGTCTGTTTAACACTTTGCCTCAGCACATGTGCAGAAATGGTTCACAGTGAAGCTACCACTCGTGAGGCTTCACTTGCTCCCAAAGAAGCCTTTGGCAAAGCTCTCGCTGAACTCAGGATCTGGGTTTCGCTGGCCCATGCTGGACTTAAATTTACATGCAAGGGATCTTCTGTTTCTGCAGCTGATTTTTGGCAATTGCCAGTGAAAGGGGAAAAGGTTATCTCAGTTAAAGAATAATGCAATTAGTTCAATCAGAACAAAGCCAACCTCTTCCTAGTTTAAAGTCACAATCTTCATGCAAATGTGTTAAAGCCCCTTGAATGGTTTACGTTTGTATTGAAAAGCTCCACCCTTCATCAAGTATCCTTTGCACTGCTCTAGTTTTGTATGACATTAAGTATCCCTCACCTGAGCCCATATCAGAGCCAAAAACTGATGTGTCCCCTAACAGGTAACACTTCCCTCTACCTTAACCGCACAGGTAGCTGCAGCAGCCAAGTTTTATAGCCTTCTCCTGCCCATTTCTCCACTCACTGGCTCTCTCTTCTCTCACTGGTAAATAAACAAAACATTAAAAAGCAGTTAGCTAGAACAAACTACTACAGTTAAGAGGAATATCACTAGGATGTGTATGGGAAAGTCCAGATGGCCTCAAGCACTGCACTTGCAAAAATCACAGAGAGAATCTGCTAAACAGCTTGAGGAGTGTAAACTCCTTAAGCTGGTTTGCTTCGTTGCTTGTGATACCTAATTGCTCAAAATCCTTTGAAGAAACAAAAATAAATGCCTTGCCACTGAAAAAAGTCAATTAAGTAAACTGACACCTATTGAATTAGGCAGCTGAGGGTCTCTGTTATATTCAAATTTTGTAGCCAGATCTGCCTGAACTATCACTTTACTCCTTGCCTACAAAACCTTTTTAAAGAGAGCATGACAAGAAACAACATGGAAACAAACAGCACTATTCTCCTAGAAGGGAATTGAGGAGATATGACCCATATTCACCTTTCTCAATTCTACCAGACAAATAAAGTATTTGGGAAAACAACATTTTCTTCCTGTATTTTCACTGCATTTTACCTGCAGTYACCGTGGTAGGACAAGGGGCCCCTTGCCCTGCTGCAGTTTTGTGCGCTGCCAGGCAGACGCCCACGTTAGGGAGRGCCCCGCTCCGAGCCCAGCACATTGACCCTGCTGCAGCCAGCGGCCCCAGGCTGGGACACGCTGGGTCTCTGCCACCAGCAAGGGAGGCAGGGCAGCCACGACCACGTTCGTCTGCCTCCCACAGAGCCCTCTTCCACGGCTCGAAATGGGATTAGAAATTTACACTCGCTTATGTCCTCTTGTATAAAAAGCCCCGTGAAACCACCCGGCTGGGATTCAGGAYAGCTTGTGCGGAACTGCGTTTGCCGGCCTCTCCGATGAAGGCGACCACCAGCGCTACGTGGGACATGGATGGGGAATCGGCTGCGGCACCGCGGTGCACCCAGAGGGTTATTATAAAGCAGCTGGTGATTATGCAAACAATAACATCTAGTCAGTGTAAGAGGAGGAGCATCAGAGTGTATTGACGTAGGCAAATAAATGAATCATTTTCTCTTAGTCAGTAGGATTTTGTTTTGGTGGGGAACTCCTGCAAAACCAAGGCAGGTTCTTGCTTCTGAATTTGCCAAAAGCAATCATCAAGAGCATGAAACATAACTGCAGTGTGCAGATATTCCTACTGAATGAACYGTTTCCTTTCCGTATTCCAGACTACGTCAAGGACGTTGAGCAGCCATACATCACTCAATTAAAAAAGGACCATCTGGCTTCTAGTGACAAGCGGAGATGTATAGTGACAGAAGATCTTAGGAAAGAATCATCCTTCCAAAATAAAGCACTGCCAAAAATATTTTTGGGGAGAGAAAAAAAAAAACTAGTGACTGATCCATTTAACGAAATAGCTGTGATTGCTCAACGATTTTCACTTCATATAGCCACATCCATCAGTGTAAAGGGTGGACAGAGAATGACAACCACCACCACTCAGCACAAGCCTGTAGTCTTCATCCTTCCCTTGCCACATGGAGCAACAAAGCAGAAGAAAAACCTCTTTGCAACAGAAACCAACTTTCCAGTGCTAAAGAAAAAGGTCTCCAGAGCAGCTGATGTGCGTGGGGTGCAGCCACGTGCGCGCAGCCAGCGTCTCCACATCACGTGGTGGAAAGGTAGAAACTGGACACGTGCACAACTATGTGCTTGGCTTGGGCTCGCCGGGCACTCACAGGCCACCAGGGGCGAGGAGGAGCAGCGGGGCCGCCTGCAGCGCAGGGTTCCTTTCCTTTCCCCTGCCTGCAGTCAGGCCACCTCATCGCCTCTCCTTTCCTCACTGCAAAATTCCACTGGAAAACAACTGTCAGTTTGCAAACTCGGCCAACCTACCCGGCCAGAGAAGACACCCCTGACATTTTATTGGGGTCACATTCCTACTCTCTGGCTATTTATCCTGCAGCAAAGCAAAAGGATTTTACCATGAGAGCCAGTGGCTCTGGCTTTCCTTGCTGAGAGCAACGCCGAATGCCTCTCAAGAGGCTGTCGTCAGCCTCGCTGAGCAGAGCTGATGCCCCCCCTAGGAACGAGGAGAGCCTGTGTCCCCTCAGCAGCTAACACCTGGCTGCCACAGCGCGCTGGGGCCACAGCCACGTGCTGGGTCCTGCCGGGAGGGCCACCGGCTCCTGCCATCTGCACCCTGTGCCAGCACATGCACCCTGGGAGTGACACGCACTGGCTCCCATGTTGCACAATCCAACGTGCTCCCTGRCTTCTAGACCATGCTCTGGAGGGCAGGAGCATTCACAGATGTTTTTCCTGTCTTTCTCCACTCACGCTTCCACATCTATGCAGTTTGAACTAATTATCCCCACTGTATTTTGCAATTTGCATTGAACTTGAACAATTTKATAGAGTCTGTTTATTTACTTTGACTCTTTCCTGAAGTGGAGACATTGGTCTGACAGGGAGCAACAGTAACTCGCAGCCTTTGTGCCASGTTCCTTTAATTCTGAAGAGACTTCTCATCCTTTGTTGTCTGTTGCCATTCTGGGTGTAATTAAAAAACAGCAGGCAACAATTAAACTCTCAGATCTCATTAACACCTACGGAGCTCTTTCTACAAGGAGCACCAAACTACAAAGCATATTTTCAAGGTGATAGGCAAATGTGCCAATGTTGCCTTTAACTTACATTACCACTGGCATTTTTTCAATCWATCACACACATAGATTCTTTTTATTTGCATGCTGCATTTACTCTGCTTCACATAGTGTCTCCTCTCCTTGTATTAGCTGTGTGATAATCTATCTAGAAATGCAGCAGCATTTCTAACAATGCACGCTTACTCTTCAATTCTAGATTATGCCTATCTTCAATGAACACCTTGATAAATTACAATTCATCTTTGTGGTAAATTATGTGTTTTACACCAAAACAGCACATCATGAACTWCACATCGAGTGAAGTTAGGCCAAGGGCTACGTAGACAAGAAAGGATTTCACCAGTAACTCAGGACACGTTGCTGGAGTCACTTCCCTTTTTTAAGGAGAATCTCAAGACACACAAACTGCTTACCTCTCCTTGCCAGATAGGGTTAACAGTGTTACACATGATCTTGGATCTCTTCTCCTGTCCATGATGAGGAAGTGCTGGGAAGATGCTATGTTTGCCAGGCTGGATGGAGATCTTCAGGTAAGGATCTGGATTGAAAAACATTCCTTTCTTCAGACCAAAAGCCTGGAAATCTGAAAGAAGGTGAATACTCTGATTAGTTTTCACAGTCCTGTCAGCCATCCAGACGGTCAGGAGAACTAGACCCAAAATTGGTGAGCAATTCCAATAAAACGTCAGGAATATATATAAAAAAAGAAAATCTCATCTTTCTTGTGAGCTAGTCTAAAGGCATAACAATATAATAATAGAGAATTTACAAAGCATTATACAATGAAATTGCAATTTTTACAACCTGATTGTGCAGGGAAATATGGCTTCTACGTCAACATTTATACAACTRAATAGAAGTGATTTGCTGATTTTTCTAAGGAGCCGAGCACTTGTTCAGCCTGAGTCCAGTGACAATATTGCTCTAAAAAAGAGATCAATTCACCTAATCACCTAGACATGGTATTAGGTACCCAATATATTTGTCACATATGTTTTAATTTTCTGTTTCTATGAAATTCAGCTGTTAGACCCTCTTTTTTTCCCTTTTTCCCTCATTGGTTAGCCTCATCTGGACTAACTTTGGAAAACTTCTGCATGTATTCCCAGGTTTTGAGCAGGTCTTTTCAGCTGCAGAACTTCCAGGGAACATAATATGAATCACACAGACAAAAACTGCAGGTGTTTCTGTCAAGATTTTCCCCAAAGGTCCTGAAGAAAGACACAGGGTCCGTTAGGATTCCTCCCTGCAAAGACAATGAAATGGAAAACAATCTCCAGGAATCTCATAAATTCTGGGGCAGCAAAAGCTACAAACTGAAGCCTCTGGCTCTCTCTTTCTCCCAATCCATTTCTAAGCTTTCCCTAGGGAATGTGGTAGCTCATTTCCTTTCCACCTTTTTTTTGCACGGAGATTTCACTCTCCTGTTCTTTATTTCACACAGGGTTAAAAGCACTARAGTGCATTCACACTACTTGCTTTCTCTCTGTCTTAAAGACCCACAAAATGATAGGCAAGCCATTTTTTTTTTTTTCAGAACTGCTTAGATGTATTCCTAAATATACAAATATACAAGTTAAATGAGCAATTTTGCTTTTTAGGGGGGCTTTCAAAACATTAGTTGCCACAGAACTTCCATTCTCTTTCAACTGATAGAAAACAACGGGCCTAGAAGGTTACAGGAGATCATATGAAAGCCTCTAGGACAKCTGATCTGGGCAAAGATACATCAAGTTATATTTTGCATCCTTAACTTATGGTAAGATGCATAAAATGTGCAAGCTAAAAAGCAGCTGGTTTTGTTCTGGGTATTCTAGCTGACTTTAGTCATATATTCCATCCCGYAATTCCAATGGCAGAGACTTCAAACCTGTGGGAGAGATGGGCCTGGAACCGACTGTATTTTTAGAGACGCTTCTGTGCATCTCCGTGACAGTAACAATTAATAAAAACAGTGAAYCTCATTATTTATGGCTCATCTGAAAGCGCTTCGCTGACAACACACACAGCCATGGTGCTAGCAGCAGTGTCACACAAAGGAAAGGATCTGGTCCGAACTGATAACAGAGCTTTGCTGTCCGAGCGGGCAATCTCTGTGTGGCCAACACACATCCCCTCACCTGTGATGTGAGCCCCTGCGAACCCCGCTGAGGCCGAGTGTTTTGCAGAGGAGCGGCACTGAGCTCCTGCAGGAGGGCAGGCCAGAAAGCCGGAGCCGGGAGAAGCAGGAGCCACTCGGCTCCCGCAGCGAGACGGGCAGGGCTGCTGCTAACGGACGAGAGCAGAGAARCCGCCCTGGGATCTCAGCTGCTGCTTCTCCGACGCCTCCTCGAAGGATTCTCACACTGAAATATTTACTGCTCTCCATGTTTCTACTTTGTTTTTCCTTCAAAGAGGAACTGCATTTCCTTTGTGTGATGCTACGCCCAGAAACAGGCTACTGACAGAAATGAAGATTACTAGCACTTCATCATATACATATCATCTGTGTATTATAAAGAATATACATATACATACGTATTCCTCATAAGCTGGTAATTAGGAAGACCTACCAACCTTTTTCTACTTGTCAGAATTAATCACAGTCATGGTGGAGAATGTWATCCTAATTTAGCACTCTAATTTTTGTATTTAAATGAGACAGATGATTTAGCCAAGCACACAACAGGAAATTTCTGTGTCATTTTCCTGCTAAAATTGCATAAGACACTAAATTATGTGAAAATGTTATTGTGGGACCCAAGAATGTTATAAACTTCTAGCAAAAGGCACAGGAAAAATATAAAGCTCTTATATTTTCAGGTGTTTCCTGGTACTCTGTTAGCCCTGCTGGGTCTCCTTGTAACATCCCAATAAAAAGGATAATAATGTCATCTATTCCGCTTCCCCCTATGAAAATATTTCTCATCTTCATTGTCTTCACTGAAAGGCTCTGAAAATACTCAGTATTTATAAGTGACAGTTTAGGATTCACTGAGTCTAAATCTTTGGTCAAACCAACGAAGACCTAGATTTATCTTACCATCCCCTGCAGCATCTCTTTCATGGAAGCATACRAGGAAAAGCCACCAGCGTAATTCATCCGTGCTTTTCAAAGGTACATTTTCATCGAGGCTGCTTAAAAAGTTATTAATCTAGCAGATGCCAATTYCCCAGCTACTCATAAACTACACTGCTGTGTGAAAGGGCTCAGACGCCTCCGTATGTTTGATAACGCCGGGCGCTCTCTCATGGAAATGAGAGCGGGGAGGGATCCGCTCGGAGACGCTTCCGCTGCTGTGGATGTTGGGAATGTCCCGGCCCGCTGCGCTCTCCGTGGTGCCCCTCAGGGGCCGGCACCACGTGAACTACCAACTTCTTCCAGCTTGAGGGCTTCTGGGTGAGACGTGCAGCGCTCCGCGTGCTTGGTAAGACGCAGGAAACCTTTGCTCACCTGCATGCAGGTGGCTGCTGTCCTTAGGCTGGGCCACAGACCCCCTGTGTGTGCTGCAAAGGACCGTTCTGCAAACTCTTCCACAGAGCATCACAAACKGCGGCGCTGCTGAGCCACCAGTAACCCAGACCATCGCTGTGATGGTTTCGTCATCACTCTGCGAGCAGTAAGTTAAAGAAGTTGGAAGCTGTTCTCACAACAGATGAAGCGTTCCCCAACAGCTATAGAAGAGCTTTCTTAGAAATACCACAGACAAGTATGCTGCCTAATTTGTAAACATGTCTCAAGAATAGTCTGTCCCTCAGCTCTCKTGATGGTGTCAATTTTACTTCATTGAAGACAGAGCTTGCAAACCAGCACAGGGGTCAAAGGCCTCTGAAGAGCAGAGCTATTTGAGAAGCTGATATTAATATTCTAATATAGCTGGCAGATTCCTTCCAAYCAAGGGCTGAATGTCCCTCATGTCTCCAAGCACCATCCAAGTGATTACAGTTCTCCTGCAAGGATCTCTATGATGCTTCTGGAGAAGATTGTTAAGCTCCAGCTATTCTATGGTCAACTCACTACACTGACAAATTTCTTACTTAGGGCATGGCTATAGGTACTCAGTCTTCCCAGACCCAGGAAATGATACATACAGCTCATGAGTCTTTTGAGGCTCTGAGAAGATGAAGGCATCTTTGAGATAAGTCAAACTGGCCCAGAACATGCACTGTATCTAGAAAYACACCACAAGAAGTACTGCAAAGCTGCTAACGCACTGAAAAGACCACAGCACCACTGGAAAGACCAATGACCAATTCAGACTGCAACTTAATTTGGTGAACCCAAATGGAATTTATTCTCTCCATAGTCTGTTCATTAATGGTAAAAAGTAAAATTATGCACTATGATCTTACTGAGATCCTGCTGGTGCACGTATCAGGGCCCAAAGAAGCACCTTCACGAGCCAACATGACAAAAGAAGAGTTTCTAATTAAGACATCAAGGGACAGATCAAACACCTTCCTTCGGGTTTCCTCTGTGAATTCTCCAAGAGCTATTAACTCAGTTAAAGACACTTAAAAAACGTACTTGAGCAGAGCTGGTGCCTGGGCTGACTCTCGAGGGGCTGATGCGATCGCTACCACGTCCGCGCTTCTTCGTCCATGCCTTGTGTAGAGCGTGACCAGAGCAYGGGTGACCCGAGCTCATGGGTGACCACACACTGGGCTAAGCTACACAAAGCCTAGTGCTGATTGCGAAGCAGGGGACACCAAAGCCCTGCTTGCTCAAGATTCAACAGCAGGCCTCTACTGCATGCTCAAAAAATCAAGGAGGTGACTGTAGCTACCCAAAGTGTAGTGATATTTGAACAGGAAGAGACAGCAACATTGAGCTGGCTTGGCAATGCCACCGTGACTCATCCAGCAGCTGTACGAGTATGTTCTGATGCTCRAACTCATCGTAGCAGAAGTGAGCACAGACTTGGCAGTGTTGCATGCGGCTGAGCTTCCAAGAGAGCAAATATTATGGGAGTTTTAGAAATCAGCCCACTAAAACCAACCCACTGATGTGTAGGGTTTGGAGTATTAAAATTCTCTATGGGAAAACAGTGAAGGGGATTTGAGAAGGATACTGCGTAGTGCTCARCAGATAACTGACTTCATCAGCTACTCAATGAGGTTTGCAACCAGCAACAGGCCAGAGGTTACACCAGGTATCTCCAGAGGTCTTCTCTCAAAAATCTATTAATAAAACTCCAGTTCTCTTTGAAAGAAAAATCATTAAGTTAAGAGTTGGCCAGTGTAGCTCAACAACRAGGTGCTTAAAGACTTGCACACAAACACAAAACACTTGTGTTATAATGAGGTTCCCAGACAAAATATTAAAGACATGGAAAAAAAAAAAAAAGAAAGGTTTGGGTTTTTTTCTTTCAAAACTAGAAATTCTACGGGAATACAAAAGGAATTCTCATTTGTATCAAAAAGAGACCCAACAAGTATGAAGAAGAAAATGAGTCTACTAATACATTAACAGATATTAAGAAATTAATTATTCAAAATGACTAGAAGACAGGGTATTTTTTTAATTATTATCTTCATTGAGGAGAAAAACGCAGCAGAAGTTTGAACTGCCACTGGGAAGAGTTTTAACAAGAAAGGGGGAATTCTCACAGCTGTGCATGGTTGCTCCCTGGGGCAAAGCACCATCTCTTGCCATCCTCAGGTACGGAGGACGAGCCTTTCTGGAGGATGTGCCCAAGCCAAACGCAAGCTGCCGAGCTCCCYGGCACGGATCAAGCGGCCTCTCTTACCCAGGCTGTTGGGCTGGCGGAGCTCAAAACCTTCTTAGGCCTTTCAATCTGCTAGCTTAGAGCACCGCAGGATTTGGTATGCACAGGTATATTGGAGAGAGCAGAAAGAGAGCTCCTCCTAACACATGCTCTGAAAGAGCATGGAAGACTCAAGCCATTGGCAATCCAGGTTTATGAAGAACACAGCCAGGCAGATGAGCTTCATTTGGGGAGGGCAGGAGAWGGGGTAGGTTTACAGCAGTAATTAAAAACAAGAGTGGCTGGAGGCTGAGCCGTAACCAAAGCCATAAACTTGGACACCCATCTMCAGTTATAAAGCTGGTCACCAGAATTTCAAAAAGTGGTTTGACGATGTTGTATGTTAAGGTGTGGATTTTGGTTAAGCACTTTGCAGCGTCAAAAACACATTCAGGGGACCTAACAGCATCTTCAGTTGTGATTTAGACACTGACTTTAAAATCTGAAAGGTGATGCTACCTGACTATCTCATCAAAAAGCTACATAAAAAGAGGAAAATAAAACTTTCAAGATGGTGTGATAAGGATGAACTTCTGCTCTTCTGTGCCACAGAACACTTGTAAATAAAGAGGGTGCAAATACATATGTGAAATATTAAAGCTTGAGAAAAGTTATTTAAGACAGTATATAGCTTCTTACAAGGCGCAGTGGAGTAAAATTGTGAAAGGACAAATGCAGGAAGCACGTCATGCAGAACTCAGGATAACACCGTGTATCTATACCYGTCAAAAGAATGAGTTCAAGGACTTTGAGCAAGTGCATTTTACTGGTGCTAAACGATGACCTTTCAGTAAGTGAGGTGGCTGGCACATGTTGGGAGCCTTAGCACATTCCTTCTTTCTGCATTTCATGCAAGAGAGCTCTGACACTTTCAGTCACCTTGTCCAAACCCTGACATTTAATGGCAGCGGTGGCAGTCATGTGGCAAAGGAAAGGAAAAGTAGCTGTAGTGTTTTCTTTAAAGCCTATATTAAACCTGACTAAATTAGGCTTATAATATTTCTCCTACCATTTTAAATAATGAAAGCTCTAATAATACAGTCATCATATAAAAGATTAAGAAGCCTAATCATGGGGAAATTATCTTCTTTGCAATCAGTACTCTTAATGAGCCTATTAATCTGAACTAACCTTTCACAGGACCAACTTCCAGTCCCCTAAGAAGCAAATACTCAGAAAACAAATCTCCTCAAAAGTAATAAGAACTCTCATCTTTCTGTTCTCGAGAAGTTAGTCATTCCCTTTTGCCCTGAAGCATTGATTTATGGTTTTTTTTTTTTGTTTGTTTGGTTAACATTTTTATCCAATCTAGCAACCTTTCCTCAGGCAGAACTTCCAATGAAACCAGAATGATGTCGTCCAAGCAAATTCTGAAAAACAAACAACCCGAAACGTACAGAGGGAACAAACAGTTCTGCCACAGACATCGACAGGGGAACTCTTCCCAAASCAGGGTCTCACGGAGTGTGTAGGCAGGCAGAGCAAACAAGAGCATGGCCTGACCTTGTCTCCAGTTTGGGGGATTTGGCCTACCTCTAGACTTCTTTCTCCCATTCTATCAACTTTGTCTCTTATAGCAAAAATATAATAAAAAATACAGCTYTCCTTGCATTCTTTAGTTGAAATACTGTTTGGGGCAGCATGGCTCTGTTGGTGCAATACCTAATGTCCCCAGGTCAGGACTAAGGGCCTTAATTTAGTTAAAACAAACAAACAAGGAAACAAACAAACAACAAAAATACTCCATAATTTGGGGAAAAAAATCTTAATGGCAGTGCAAGTGCAAATATACTAGTATGTAAGGGCGGAAAGTGAGGAGGAGAGGTCTAGTTGTTACAGTAGTTGGGTTTTTGCTACTATAGTGGCATAAGGAGAAAGGATTCCTGGTTCTTTCCCACGCCTCTGGAAGATCCAGCTTGGTCTGAGTTTTATTAGCTGGCATAACAGATACAGGAATAGCCATAACTTTGACAGAGACAACAATCATTTTTTATTGATTAAGAAAGCAATAAAAACATCTTTGTGAGGTGTTAACATGTTTAACTGAAATGCCTCAAGTTTAGGCTCTCAGAAAGAAAGATTGCAATTGGGTTCTTTCAATACCAAAGATTTTTGAGAAAATAACTGTGTGCTCAAATATCTGGCCATGATCATGCTGTTAATATGGATGTGATACAAATGTAAATGAATTGCTGTTTAACCACTAGAATAAGATATCCCCAATGTATTATGTGTCATGGCCCTTATGTACTTTGAATTAAGCTGTAAATTAGATGGCTTGGTTTTATAAAAGGTCACACTGAGGTAATATTCTTTAGAAGTCTCACAAATTATAACTCTGAACATGTCTTGGACTACTAGGCTAAAGAATCAGAAAGAATGGGAAAGTGATGCAAATTCTGTCCCATATTTTTGTCATATTTAAGTAATGTGAGAATTTAGGATTCTTTTTTATATTAATTCTAATTCTTTATTCCTGTAGAGCTAAATCTGTRGTGTTTTTTTAACAGGCCAATGTGAAAGGTTGGATGCCCAGTATCCCACATAGCAAAAATAACTGTTGTGTAAAAAGGGCCCCATCCAACCTCAGTCCAGCCTGCCATAGAGCACACACAACCTCCACAGACTCACAGTGGGGCACCTATTCTGAAAAAGCACAAACACGCAGGCTTCACAAGCAAGATGCACAAAAGTTCTGGCTGACCTCAACAGAAGTTAGAAGAAAGCTTTGAATAATCATATTGCCAAGGCAATCTTATAAGGTGGTGCTTGTCTGAGTGTAGGTCTTTTTAYAGGCTATGAATGTAAATAAATTCCAAACTGAGCTAACTGAAGTATATCAGAAACATTCTCTTTCCCTATACTGCATTCTCAGGGAATTTCCACGTCTAATTTGGCACCTGAGTCCTTGTCTTCCAGGTGGTAAAAACATGGAAAACACACAGGTAGTACAAAACWCCAAAATGAGAATCTTGCTCCTAATAATCCTCTTTTGACAAACAGAATTTTGTAAAGTGGTGATTTCCAAACTGTTGTCACCAAGGCCAGATCACATAGTCCACAGTTGCTTCATGGAGCCGTTTAAAGCCTTTAAAAACAGYAATGCATGAGAATAATGAAGGTGAATACTGGCCTTCTGAAAATTTAGAGGATTAAGAGTGGTCTGTGGGCTCTGACAGTCACAGTTGAAAAATAAAACCAAACTTGTGTTTAGGGATCGCGTATCTGCCTCGGGTCCAGACTAAAACTGTGAAAAGTCTTCTCCAAAAAACAGGAGTGCCACGCATCAGCCACCTTCTGCTCCCTAAGCAAAGTGCATGTCTTTGATCTTGCTTTTTCTGACCTAAATACACAGCATCATATGAAGAGCTTTGCCTAAAGCAAATCTGGCCCCAAAACTCTACTTGGGTAAGGTGCTTCAGCACGTAACATTTCCTCCTGAAGGAAAAGGATGGGGCAATAATCATAGGACACGTATTAGTTCTGTATTTCAATGCCACCATCAGAGCAACAGTCCAAAAAGCATGCATATATATGTACATACACAGATGTGCATATAGTATATAGGTAAATAGAAGGGTTTTAAAGGGTCTCCTGCCTCCTGCTTTCTGGACTTCAAACCTTCACATCAACACTGACTTACCTGACAGTGAAAAACTGATCAGTCTCCGACTTCCTTGTCCCTGGATGGAATCTTCATTGGTGATGCTTTTAAAAATCTGTTGGAAGAAAAGTAATGGTCAGAGAGAGGAGTCTCTGATAGCCCTTGAATAGACACACTGCTTTTTAACAGCGTAGTCAAAAATGAATCTATCAAAGRACCATGAACCAATATCACATTTTTATCCAGGAAATGATTTAGACCGCTAGTAGCCTAAGTGAGCCCTTCTTGCAAGGATTTCTTCAGGAAAACATGACTGAAAAATACTTGTGTATTTTTAAATAGAGCAATTCCTTACCCAAACAGGAGCTATTTATTAAGTGAGGGATGAAGGTAGCACATAAGGGTGGGGATGTGCCTCTCACCTCTAATAATAACTGCTGTATTTGTAAAGTGGAATAGAAAATCTGGTTCCAGGAAACGGGGTGCATGCAGGCGAGAGACGCCTCTCGAAGAACTTGCTAACACCCTGAGCAAACTGCAAGGGTGAGCGATGATAGCAGCAAGTACTGAGGGGGAACGTGAAGAGCGTAGCGAGAGGTGACCCTTGTCCTCGCCCAAGGGAAGGGCGCCAGGCCCCTCTGCGGGCTTCAGCGTGGAGCCTCATGCTAAGGAGCTGCTGAGGGGCCGCAGGCACTGGGTGCAAACCAGCACCCAGGCCACTTGCAGCGCCCCTTGCCCCAGCAAGGCCCCTTGGCCCCAAGGGCCCCTCTAGGCCCCACAGGGCCCCCCAAGGCCCCACAGGCCGCACGAGGTGCCTGTGTGAAGCCCCAGGAGGCATCACCAGCTGCAGCAGCAGCACCTGAGGGAGGCGTCGTCAGCTGCCGCTTCCCGCTTCCCGCTTCCCGCTTCCCTCAGCGCGGCGGAGGCGGCGGCGCCGGAGCCGCTCGGCTCCTGGGCAGCCCCAGCTCCCCACCCGTGTCGCTGTTGGGGTTTTGAGGCAAAAAGGGAGCATGCTTGGGCAGCAGGGCTCCACTTTCTGCCTGGGAGACGTAACTAGCGGCCCACTCGGCCATGACTCATTGCTCAGCATGTTAAATATTGTGCATTAAGGCTTAGCTTAGGAGAACAGCTCTTCTTCGCCACAGAGAGTTCCAAACCTGGAACCGGTTAGAAAGATTTAAAAACAGCAGGGTGGATTTGGGTGCCTTTTAAAAATGCCTTCTGCTGGACTTCACTTTTCATCACGATCAGTTTGTTTCTCACACATTGTTTAAATGGGAAARGGGCTACTCAAGAGGGTGGCATCAAGAACAAACACCCCCTTAGGTCACATCTGATTAATTGCAATTACAGTTTTGGACTTCTCAGTTAACCAGGTTTCGATCTATTTAATAAAGTCACCACTGAWTTCTGAAAAGAGTTTAGATCAGAATATTAGATGCGTCTTTTAAGATTTGTAGGGCGTTCAACAAATRCCATGTTACGAACCCAGTTACCTTTATCAGCCCAGGCCACAATCTCACCAAGATGGTATCAATTTCCTTGTAGAAACATACTTTTCACACTACTACACAGACTGGCACTCTCCTTTTGTACTTCCTACTCCAGAGCTCTTCATGATTTTGTCCAGGACAATGATTGAGCCAAATGATCTCATTTGCACATATGGCAAAACATGCTTTTTTTTTTTTTTTTCCCCAAGTCTTTAATGTTTTTCCAGGGTTCCTACTTCTAACACAAATCAATACTGGTAGTTTAACAGCTGATGTTCTGAACAGACTGGGGTGCAACTGATGGGTTCTGCAAACATCAACACGTGGGATGAGGCTGGTGTGCACATCTGTGCCGAGGGGCTAGGAGGAGCTCCTGGTTTTCCATATAGGCACAGCATCCATGAATTAGGTCAGAGTCAGTTCTTAACTGACTTGGGAGTTTATAAATATTCCCTCTGCCTTACAATGGGAAACGGCTCTGACGTGATTTGATGCTTCTGAAGTTTTGACCTCATTTTCCTAATCCTAATTTTCCTTATTCCAAGAACTAATGTCAGCAACTTCCCTAGATTTAACAGACATTGTGCAGACCTTCGAGTGCCTTAAACTGCCTTTCTGCTACCTGCTCTTCGCTGCTCTCCTTGAAGCACTGGCTTTCCTTTCTGCGCTGTGGCTTTCTCCTGCTTCCGTGTGGAGCAGAGCTCCATAAACCCTGGAGAAACCTCCTCCCTTTTCTCCAGCGACTGCACCTCACTGCCTTTTCTCTACAGATGAGAACACAGCTGTGAACAAGAAGTAACAACAGCAGCAGATACTRCCAATCCCTACTCTACATTTGTTTTTAAAATGCCAGGGATTCCTACCCACAGAAATCAGGTTACTACAAAGCCCTCCACAACATTGACTCTGAGTGAGGATAAAACAGGGCTCATTATCACTCTATAGATATCAAGCTTTCTGACACTTTCTAATTAAAAAAGAACCCACAAGGAAAACAGTATCAGATCTTTTCCAAGAGAACCCACAAGGAAAACAGTATCAGATCTTTTCCAACCGTGCTCTATTTCAATATACCACAGCATATGAGATATGCACAAGACACAGAGCATTCCCCACCATCAGGCTCATACATTAGAAGGATTTTTTCAAAGGTCAAGCAAGGCCAGACATTATCATGAAGCCAAGCRAAGCCTCTCCAGCATCTCCTGACATGCGGAATTCAGCAGGCCGAATCCTCCCACGGATGCTGGTGGCACAGCTCCGCGGAGCTGCCGCGGCGGCCGCTCCAGCACCCTCAGCCCTGCCTGAAGCGGCACTGCGCMGGCAGCACGCAAAGGAGCGCCTTCAGCTTATCCCAGAACAGCTTCCTGAGATGATACAATGTTGTTCATTTTGGTAATGCTGAGCGCTTAACTTCAATAATTTTAAACACACTTGAACACTTTTTTGAAATATTTCCAGTTTTTCTACAGTCCGTACAGCTAACGGGACTTCCCCAATCTTGGCTTGGGGAAACGAAACAACAGCATGTCTGGTTTGGGGAAACCAGACAACCCCATCTTGGTTTGGAGAAGTGGAGTGGGAAGTAGGAGACCTTCTTGTCCTCTCCTTCCCACCCCATTTCCCCAAACCAAGATGCTAGTTGTAGACACTTCCCAAATGCTGTTTACCTTGTCTGAATGCCCCCCTATACAGGCCTACCATCCCAGACCTATATACATGTGTTTTTCTCCAGTATTCAGCTACGAAGTAACTTGTCCCCCAGTTCTGATCCTTGGGGACCACACGCAGTAATGGTGACAGTGGGTCCACCTTCACCCCGGACACGCAGATCCCAGGAATGCCTCCAATGTCGCACAGCCAAAGGGGTTCAAGAACAGTAACACGTCCTTTCTCAAAGGAAGGAATTACCATGCCTGGATACCATGAGTTGGGAGAGTAATTTTACTTTAATATTGATGCTTCAAGAAGTCAAAAGGAAGGCTGGGGAGGGAGGACAGGTACAGCAATAGCCTGGCTTGATTTAGTTCACTACATGAAGATAGCTGAGTACACAAAGGTTTTCTCCTCAGTTTTCTGACAAGACAAGGGCATTTTGTTTGCACATCCATCTAGCGTAGGTAAGGCTTTCAGGATGAAAGCAGACAGCTCAGGAACATAAATACAAAGAAAAAAAAGTCTCCCAGTGTAAGGCCAAACTGGCAGGTTCAAAAGAAAAAACAATTTGCTTCTGCTCAGATTCACCACTTTCTAATTCAATAGCCCTGTTCTATGCAGTAGTGAGGAACAGCCTAAAAGCACTGTGTCTGGTACAGGATAAAGCTGAGTGCGTGCTCCCTGTTTATCACTAAAACTGCTCTCACTGGGATTTAGAGAGTTTTGTGGCTTGAGATGGAAAAGTGCACGAGTCAGAGTCTTCCTTCTTGTCATTCACAGTAAAAGAAATCCAGACAATGCTGTGATAGCGATGCAATTACATCTGCAGTTTTGTTATTGCGATTCGGATTTGGTCATTGGGAGGTAAAAATACCTGTCTTCTCAGCTGTCAGTTAAAACCTAGCTAGGCAACAGAAAAATAACATTCATTTCATCACTTGGTATTTTAGACTGATGTCTCTGGATGAAAATGATGAAATGTAATTTGCCCTCCACAACTTCGGTGCTCTTTTGTGCACCTTTGAAAAGAGAGCTTAGTCTAAATTAACTTACTATTTTTTTTTAAAGTGTTGGGGATTTCAGCTGCAAATTCAAGCCTGTACGAATTTCTCAGACGACTACACATTTCCTGAGCTACATTCAAACCTTTTCTCATTCTCCTTGCTTAATGAGAACCATAACCTCCACTATAGGAAYATGTGCACTCAAACAGGTAAAGGAAGTATGGAAGTATCAGTACCTATTCTTAGAATTATAGAATGCTTAAAGTTGGAAGGGATCTCAGAGGTCATCTAGTCCAACCTCAAATATTCTCCAGTACACACACCCTAAACAGCCTTTTTTCTGGTCCATTATAGGGTTTCCCAACTTTGGAAGCAGGCACCACTAGCAATGTTCAGAGTATCTCGTGGCTAGCTGTAAAATCTGCTGAGATACCTGAGGGCAGATGCAAGCCCCTCAGGACTCGCTGAACTACGGAAAAGGTCCATGGCTGGTATTTGTTTTTCCTTCCTTCAGTAGAGAGAAAAAAAAAGAAGAGAATGAGATGATCATAGAATCATGAATTATAGAATGATGAAAAGCCAAAAATAATACATCCCTTTTCCTTGTGAGTAGTTCCTGCAAATGCGGGGATGATGCTCTGTCACCCTGAACGAGCAGCAATGTAGGCTGCAAATGGAGCCCCTGGGACTCCCTCTCTGCCTCGGTTTGTGCTATGGAAATAAAAACCTTGAGGAACAGCCGAGTTCCATCTGATGTCCATCAGCTCTTATGACACAAAACGCCATGTGCATCCATGGAAATTTGTCCAGTCAGTGGCCAAGAAACTCCAAATACCTCCTCAAACACCTTCCCTTTGCCCGTCTGTACAGATACATGAAGGAGTAACAAGGACACGGTTCTTCCTCCTGACACTGCAGTGACGTCCCGGCCCCAGCGCAGGTTCTGTCTTCCCGAACATGTG